TTATTATAGTAGCCACTACACACAAAAAAAGACTTTAGGGACTTTTAGTGGTGACAAAAATATCGCGGCTGAAAGTCCACTTTTTGTGGTTTTTTTCCACTGCTGAAAGGTATACTTTCAGTGGCGACTTTTTAGTGTCGCTGCTGAAAGTAGACTTTTAGCAGCAACTATTAGTGTCACCGCTGAAGGTCTGACTTTCAGCGGCGACTTTCTAATGTCGCCACTAAAAGTATAATCTAATAATATATATTTTATTTTACAATAATAATAAACAAATTCAATCCAGCTCAACAGCAAGACGATTGGGCACGAAAAGAGGTGGTCACAAGTTTGAACCCTAAAGAAGACACATTTAAGATGAAAATATTTGGGCGGTGAAGTGACAGGGAGGGGTGACGTGGCATGAGGGTGGTGATGTGGCAATAACATGGAGGCAGCCGATGATGACGTGGAGGTGGCTAGTGGTGATGTGGCATCTAGTCAATGATGATGTGGCGACCGACAGCGATGAGGTGGAGATGGTCAATGATGACGTGGCGTCAGTAAAGCTAATTTTTCCTAAGCATCACTTTCAGCGGTGACAAAAAAGTTGCCGCTGAAAGTCACTTTTGGCGGTGTAGTTTGTCGCCGCCAAAAGTTCTTTCAGCGGTGACAAATGTCGCAGTTAAAGCTTGTAAGAGTCACCGCTGAAAGTGTCTTTTAGCAGCGACTTTTTTTGTCATCGCTGAAAGTTTTCAACCACGGTTGTTACGGTAATGACTTTTCAGCGACGACTTTTTGTCGCCGTTGAAAGTTAATTTTTTTGTAGTGGCTAGCATGTTGTTTGTAATGACGAACATCACAAAAATGTATCACCCTTTTTTGTTGCTTATCACCATGGTAAACATCGTAAATCTAACATATATCACACACAGTCAACTCCAAAAATAGAAGGGAAGAAGAGAGGCAACATGAGGTCTTGGGAAGTATATTTGCTAGTTCCAAAATTTTGGCTAAGTTCTTCTAACTTGACTTTCATCTTTTCTCATGAATTTCTTGGAATTTTGAGGATATGAAAGTTAGGGTTCGTGGGGATTTTGAAGTGCTTGAAGTTTTGACCAAACATTTTAAGTCTAAATAATTGACTATTTGGATAATCTTGAGTGTTTAATCATTTTAGTTTTGTTAGATTTCAAGTTTGTGAAATTTCGAGTTAGTTTGTTAGAAATTGATAGTGTAACCATTTATAAGTTGTGATTTAATGGTTGGGTTATGCTTATATGAGTTAGGATTGAAGTTTAATCAGTTTAGTGTGTTGATTTAAGTTTGAATTCCACATATAGATATTTTGAAGTTAGAACCCTGAATTGTAAAGTGGGAATTTTGATTGATTGGGATGAATGGAAGTTGATAAATGGCTTAGAAGAGTTGTTTGGGCTATTGGACAATGAAACTTAGTGTTGGATGTCGTGATTGAAGTTTATAATCAGAGCTGGGAATTTTTAGAAGGTTAGTTACAAACTCTAGCTATGTTTAGTTAATTTAATTGCCCAAGTAAAATTGTGTATTGATGTGTATATTCCTTGTGTATATTAACTTGTTTGTGGCTTGAGCATGAGGTTAAAAATTGTGGTAATCCTCATTTGCTTTTGGCAGATGCACGCTAGTATAATGATTATGGGTGATTTGAAATATAATTTTGAATGAAAATCTTATATGAATATGTTATGAGCTGTAATGAATTGTTTTTTATGAAACTTTACCATGTAAGAATTAGATATAGTATAATGAGAAAATCTTACACAAGTTATCTTATGAGAAGTATCTTAATACTTTGAATTACTTTGTTGTTTTGTGATTCACATTGAATTATGCTATAGATGGTGATAGTGATTATTGGTATAAATGATTAGGGGTGACCATATGGAGCTTGTTGGCTGGCCCCATTTATATCGCCTAGGTCCAATCATTTTTCTTGATCTAGGATTTGATTTGCCTTGGCCGCGACACTCTATCAATTCCATGAGGAGAAACCTGTAGTCTGATTGTGTACTCTGTGAATTTTGATGAGTTGTTTAAATAACTAGTTTCATGAATAGATAATTTAACTCACGGGTTCAGTAAACAAAAATAGAGATTATATATAAGGGAGGTTACGAGACAATCCTGTCATATTATGAATGCAATTGAATAAGCTTTTGTATAAAGTGTGTTATGAATATAATTTTTCATATCTGTCTCACTTGGCACCTCATAAGTATGTATTGATATGTATGGTACATTAGATTTTTAGTTTCTAGGTAATTTATCTTGTCTTGTTGGTTTAACATTTTAGGTGAAAGTTATAGAGGAAGACCGTTAGGATAGACTCTGGCAGCTTAGCTAGTGGTTTTATTCTTATAAGGCCTCTCCTTTTTTTCCTCCTGTTAAAGTATACATATCCTTCTATTAGAGACAATCCTATTCGAAACACTGTCAAGTACTAAATGTAGATACTTTTTCAAGTGGGGATTCAATCTTTGGTTCGTCACGTTGTGAAGAATTAATCCCCTCTGCTAGACCCAACCCATGCTGGTTGTACGGCCTCTCATTTTTGTTATGCGTAATTAATGTATAGACTATATGTATATACCCCGTGGTGGACTGCTGGCCCATCTATGATTTCGATTGTTCATTGCCTCACAAAACGCGTGCGCAACATTTTAATTAATTAATTAAACAATATTTTTTGGACATTAAAAATCTTCAGAGATGATAGGTTAATCGAGAGGAGCAGCTTGACAATAGCTGTGAGGTATAGTTGTCAAATAAGTTTTTTTTTTTTTTTGCCAACAGTATAGCTGTCGTCAAATAATAAACTTTCTTGATTGAAAAAATAATCTTAAGATAGATATCCTCGATCATTTGGCTTTTACAATGTTTGAATTTTTATTAATCGTCAATATAAGATATTAGTAAGTTATTTCAATTTTTTTCAAGAAATTATATCACATTCTTAAAAATTACTCATATAGCTATTAATATAATCTGTAACTATTCCCCTTGATAACACTATTTCTTATAAATTTTATTATATTTTTTCGGGAAAACTATATTGAAGGTACCTATACTTTCTCTTAATTTTTAATTTGGTACCTATATGTTTTTTTCCCTTTAATTAAACATTTAATTTTATCTTTTTAACAACATTAGCTCTTATAACTTTGTTCTATTGATATTTTTAGTCTCTACATAAGAATTAATGATTTAATAGAGGAAAAATAAAGATTTAGTTAAGAACAAAAAACACATAGGTACCAAATTGAAAATTAAAAAAAAGTATAAGTACCTCCAATATGGTTTTCCCTATTTTTTCCCAACAAATCTTATTATACATTGATGATTCAAATTTGCTGTAAAAATAATGAGAGATTGACCCTATGCTTGGTGTGAGGGGAATGGAGGAAAAAGGAGGAGAGGAAAATTTTAATGAGCTTGATTTAAAAAATAGGAAAAGTGGGGTTTTAAAATTTTTAATAAAGATAAGATATAAGAAAAAAGAGTAATAAAAATTAATTAAAAGTTTTTAACCCCACTTCTTCAATTGTTTAAGATAAGCCTATTAAAATTTTTTCTCCCCTCTCCTCCCGCCCATTTGCCTTGTACAAACCAAACCCTCTGTTTTTTTATTATAAGAAAATTTCATATGGTTTCTTGTTTTTTTATAAGAAAAGCAATAAATTTCAAATGGACTTAAGACATACTCTTCTGATCCTATTTATAAGTCACTTCCAACATGTTTCACACAAAACAAAGAAAACCTTAAATTTCATTAACTTTCATTTAAAATTCAACAATTTTTCAACTTTATTCCCCTTTAATATACACTATATCTCATATAAATAAAGTCAACACAATAATAAATGAAGGGTAAAATTGTACATTCGTTTAAAAAATTTCTTTCCATACTCTATAACTAGGACAAAAAAATATATTCTCTCTTTGCCTTATAAATAGGATCAGGAGTGTATTTTCAAATTTGCCCCTCATTAAAAAAGCATTGATAAGTTAGGAATACAGTTAAGCATTAATAACGATGGCATTTTAGTTAAAATATTCATTAAGTACGATTATATTAAGATAAATCAACTTTGTCAAACTGTATGAATCAGTTAAAATTTGTTTATATTTGAACTTTGAAGGCTTCCATATGAGGGAGTACATTGCGAAACTCATTCATTAGCTATCCTTAAACTATACACCGAAGATTTTGTTTTCCAAAAGCTAACTTTCATATGAATTTTATACGCTAAAGATTTACTCATCATTTTTTTTTTTTGCCAACGAAAGATTTACTCATCTATTTATTCATATAAGAATAGACACCGAAGACATTTTTATTCATATGAATTTAACGTCTTCAAGTCAGTTAAATTTAATAAGTATTCCGTTTTATTATTACTTTATATATAACGTTTTTAGAGGATAGGTTTCAATTATATATATGGTTCTTTACGGGCCAAGGGTGTCTCCATTTCTTTTACGAACCATTTCCCTCCATTTCCCTTAAACGGTGTCGTTCAGTTTTTCACTAATGTCCCCACCCAAAATTAAAGAACAAATAGCGCCCTCCTCTGTTTTTCTCCCAAAAGTGCGGGAATTCGTGAAATAGGCACCGCAATAGGATTTTAATACTCAAACAATCGTTGCAATAGGAATCTAATAATCGAAAATAAGGTTTTTAATTCTCCGTTGTGCTATAAGGTTCGTATTCATCTGCAAATGTCGTCTTCTTTTTTTTTTTCTATAAGTTCTTTTTAATTCGTTACTAATTCAATATCTACTTGATGCAGCAAGTTTAAAAAAATATATAAGCCTTATTGCACAAAGGGTATCGTTGGATTTGGCATTGGTTTGGCAGCATTGGTGAGTGTAACAAGTTTAATATTTTTGTTGCTTGTTTTTCGTCTGCGTACTCATATATTCGAGTGCCTTTTTTTTTTTCCCAGATTCTCACTTTGTCCTAAATAATGAATACAAATATGACTCCCACACTTGATCTTGAATTTGATAATTTAGAAGAGGCATGGCAGTATTGGGTTGGCTATGGCAAAAGAATGGGATTTGGTGTTAGAAAGGAAAACTCCAATAAAAGCAAGAAAGATGGTTCTATCATATATTATAAATATGTTTGTCACAAGGAGGGAGTGAGAAAACCAGATAAAAGAGATTTCAAAATTAGGAAGCCTCGACAGGAAACAAGAACTGGGTGTGAAGTCAGAATGATAGTTAAAAAAGTGAATGGAAGATTTAGAGTTAGTGAACTTTATTTGGATCATAATCATCCTTTAGAGCCTCAAGAAACTGTTCACATGTTTGCATCACAGAGGAAATTACCAGAAGCACAAGGTTATGCTTTAGAAGCTGCTGAAGACGTCGGGATTAAGCAAAAAGCCTCTTTTAATTTAATGAGTAAATATGTAGGAGGGAGGGCTAATTTAGGATATACTGAAGAGGATATAAAGAGTTATCTAAGAGCAAGGAGACAACGAAAAATGTGCTATGGTGAAGCCGGGTGTCTACTTCGTTATTTCCAACATCAACTAATAGAAAATCCTTCATATTTTCATGCCTATCAAGTGGACTCAGAAGATCGAATAACTAATGTATTTTGGGCTGATCCACGTATGTTGTTAGATTATGATTGTTTTGGGGATGTCATTTCATTTGATACAACATACTCCACCAATCGTGAAAATAGACCGCTTGCCATTTTCTCAAGTTTCAATCATTATAGAGAAGTAGTGATATTTGGTGCTGCATTATTGTATGATGAGACCATTGAATCTTTTAAATAGCTTTTTGAAACTTTTCTACAAGCACATAAGGAAAAATTGCCATTTACTGTATTTACTGACCAAGATGCTGCAATGGCACGAGCCTTGGAAGAAGTAATGCCAACCGTGAAGCATGGCTTGTGCACTTTTCATATTAATAGAAATGCGGTGAAACATCTTAGAAACTTGATGAAGGATGACTCTCATTTTTTGGGTAAGTTTAATTGGTGCATGTATCATTGTGAAGAAAAACTAGTGTTTGAGGAATCTTGGAAAGAATTATTGTTGAAGTACAATGCAGTAGATAATCCTTGGTTGATGTCCATTTATGAGTTGAAAGAAAAATGGGCAGCATATTACATGAAGGATTCAAAGACTCTTGGTATGAGAAGCACACAGCTTAGTGACAGTATTAATTCTTTCATAAAAAGTTGTACAAATCCTGAATTGAATATCAATCAATTCTTTGAAATCTTTGAACAGGTTGTTGTAGATAAATGATATAATGAATTAAAGAGTGATTTTAACTCACGGCAGAAGTTGCTGAGGTTGATTTTAAAGAGTTCATCTATGCTTCAACAGCTTTCTGAAATTTACACTCCACCAATTTTTGACTTGTTTCCAGCAAGAGTATGACTTGCGTGATGCTACATGTATAAAAGAGAGCAAGGAAAGAAAGATAAATGAAGATGATGATGCCATTGTATTTGAATATGTAATCACAAGAGTTGATAAAAAAAGAGAGTGGAGATTGACATATGAGCCAGCAAGAGAAGACAAGGAGTCTAACATTACTTGTAGCTGTAAGAAGTTTGAACAATGGGGAATATTATGTTGTCATGCATTGAGGATATTGTACGATCGAGATGTAAAGTTACTTCCACATAAATATATTTTAAATAGGTGGACAAGAGAAGCAAGGTGTGGTATGGTACATGATAGCAAGGGAAAGGAAATTGAGGTTGATCCTAAACTAGAATGTTCAAATCGATATAGGCAATTGTGTCCAATGATCATAAAATTAGCCAGTGAAGCATCTGAATGTCCAGAGGCATTCTCTATGGTTCATCAAATGGTGCTAGAACTTGGTAAAAAAGTGTCTGAACTTCTTACTGAAAATTCATTAGATGGTGTTGATAATGAAGTTGGCGTTAATAATGATGATGATGGAAAAAATTATGGTGAAGGCATTGGATTCAAAAAAAGAGAACGCAAGAAGATTGATAAAAGTTGGGTTGACAACCCTAATCAGAAAAGAAGAAAAGTTAAAAATTCAAAAAAAGCTGCTCACAAGCCTTCGCAAAGTTTGAAGGTAAAAATTATTTATATTGATTTTTTTTAAATGTCATCATGGTTTTTATTAAGATTTTATTTATATCATTACAGGAAACCCAAAAGTCAACTCAGGTACACATAGTCTGCCTGTGTCAAATACACTTGTGACTATGCAATATGGCCCTCCTATATCAACTACACTAGTTTCAATGCAATAGTCCCGCTATGTCAAATACTCCAATGCCAATGCAATATGGTCCCCCTGTCTCAACTACACCAGTGCCACTACAATATGGTCCTCATGTGTCAACTTCACTAGTTCCAATGCAATATGGTCTCCCTATATCAAATACATCAACACCAATGCAACACGGTCCCTTGATCTCAAATATACATGAACTAAGTCAAATGCCATTCACATCATTGATGATGGTGAGACTATTCTATTTCAAGTTCTTGAGTAGTTTATTCTATTTCATTTCATTTTTTTATGCTTGTAGGCTCCATTGGACCATGAAGTGAAGTCACTTGAAGCCTTAGAATTTAGTCAAGTATTTACAAAAGGTAAATCATATCACAACATGAAAATATATTGAAAAGATTGAGACAATTTTATTCAAATAAAGAAACTTCTATTACAATAGAATTATATTACATTTTCTGCATATAAACTATCTTACAATATGTTACAGATATAGGTTTACAAAAGAACTTAGATCATCCTAAATGAAGTCATCCAATTAAGTTCTTATCGTTCCAGACAACGGCTTCAATTCAGCTCCTTGGGCTTTTCTCTTCCTTATTACGGTAGCTCTTAAGATGACTGTATGGCATTTATTGTATGTGAGCTGCTCTCTTTTTGATCATGTAGCCCATATTGGTGACAACATAGTGATTGATTTCAGCTACTATTTTCTTTTTCAACTGCAATTATAAAGTTTAACATTGAATGGTTATTTTCATTATCTACCATAATATATTTAGGCAAAAGTGTTAAAGATGATCCTTATATATTTCCAACTGTGATGTTCACGCTGTCACAAAGAAGAGAACGCAGGATGTCAATAAGTCCTTATAAGTTCTCTCAATATATTGCAAACTCAAAATGCCAACATAATTTGGATATAAAAAATGCCAACACGTCACAGGGCACAGGCATGATTCATTTTCTTAATTTCAAAAGAAAATAATTCTAAATCAGATTTAACAATTAAACAAGTCATCAATTAGTAGGGGGAAAATGTCTCCCTTGCTTTTCGTAACAATATTGAATCATATAAAGCATCTTAAGATAGAAAGATTGAATATGATAGAATCAAAGTAAACACTCTTGTCACTATAGTTGGCCACCACAGCTCCACCCATCCCTAATGAGTTGCCCACAAACTTACAATTAGAATCTGATAGATAATGAAATGTTTTTCTGGGGCTAAATTAATTCCAGTAATGAGTTCCATGATCCCTTAGCTACTTGACACTTCTGTAATTTATTACCTTGAAGACCAAATTAATATCTGTCCCACTAATTTACAAGGAAACTAAAGATTTAGCACATAATCAAATGTAGAATTAAGCTGACTTAATACTTCAATTAACTGCCCGGTCTCATTGAATCTTCATAGGAAGGACACATCCCTTGACAAGTTTTGAACAAGCCATTAACATTGCTCACCCACATAAACTTGATAGCAGTAAAATTATATGCAGCAGCAAGGAGAAATCAAGTATGGCTTTCAATTAACCCAATTAATGTGTCGGCTGAAGAGAATATTTGAGAATACCTAGTGAGGGAAAAATATAATTCGACCCAATACAAACAAAAACGCAAGGAAAAACTCAAGCTTTGTGTGAAGTAATTTTGAAAAGAGTACCTCTTCTTTGTTCGCGTCTCTTCATCATCCCTGAATTTACAGGATTTTAAGAGAAACCATCACCCACCACAAGATCCATAAGCAATTGGTAAAAAACACCCACACACGAGACCGAAGAGTGAGCACGGAAATCGTCTGAAGAAAGAAGGAGGGGGGCGTGGGTAAAAGGGCAAAAGTGACTATGCAATTTTTTTATTGGGTGGGGACATAACTAAAAAGAAACGGTACCGATTAAGGGAAATGGAGGGAAATGGTTCATAAAGGAAATGGAGACACCCTATGCCCGGTTCTTTACATAAGGCCTCACGTTAATTATTTTTATTATAATTTTTATTTTTAATTCCTATTTAATGCTGATTTACGTAGAAAGTAGGAAAAAAAATTAAGAATGTATTTAATATGAGTAAAGTCTTTTTTAAAAAAATTAAACTGAATTAATGAGTTTTAAGATTTTTTTATTTTAGTAAAAATTATTAAAAGTAACTTATAAATGAAATCGAATGAAATACTTGCTATACTTAAAATATTGAAGAGTGTGCTTTAATAATCTTTAATAATGGGCTAATTAGTACTTCTCTGATTTTGTTGACAAGTTAGAGAGAAAAGATTTTCTTAATTATGTTTATAATTTTTAATAATGTGTTAATTAGTACTTCTTTGATTCTGTTTATAAATCATATATTAAATTTTTAACATGCATATACAATTTTACCCTTAATTTATAATTACATATATTGTTATTTTTTTAGAAAATGTACATATATATATTAAATAAGAATAAAGTTAAAAAAATTATTAACTTTTAAGCCAAAATTAATGAGCTTTAAAATTTTTCTTAATTCTAGTAAAATATATTGAATATGACTTATAAATAGGATAATACAACTAAATCAATATAAAGGCTATTAGGGGAAGAAAAGACAGAAATATCTCATGACCTTGGAGAAATATAATACGTGCAAGGTCCGATGCAGAACAATAATTAATGCCTCTTCTCTTGCTTAACCCGAAGATTCGATTATTCTAGAGATGTGGAAGATTGGTTTGACAAATAGCAGCATGAGAGAAATTTTCTAAGTGAGACCTTAAATTCAAATTCAAATTTTAATTGTTTCAACAATGACGGAGTTCAGTTTCCAATACGCCAGCACCCATCTATTTTAGCTAGGGTAATGTCTAAGCCACATGGCCACACGCACGCAAAAATTCCTTTTGTGAATGGATGGAAGCCATCCATGTATTCTTCCTTTCTAATGTACATGTGTTAGCATCGGCTCTGTTATCAGCATCCATTAACCATCCATTGGCCTCCCTGAACTCATACAGCACCAACATAAAGGTGACTACTCTCTTGGGCCTTCCAAAAGTCTATCTATGATGAACATAAGTTTAAAGGAAAAGCCTAATCTCAAAAGACTAGACTATTATGAGGGAGAACCCTTTAAACTTATAAACCACACAATACTTATGAGATTCACTAGGTCTTCTTATCGATTAGAAGACTCCGCAGGTAATCCTCTTTGGTTGGTTGACTTTTAATGAAAGCACCAATGTGATGAGCATAAGCCCAAAAAGAGAACTCATCCCAAAAGACTAGCCTATTAGGAGGAAGAGCTTTTTGAACTTATAAATCCCACAACACTTGTGAGATTCTCCAATATGAGACTCATAACACTATCAAGGGGTTGAAGAATCTCAAGGGTACAATAGTGTGATGAGTATAAACTTAAAGGGATAGTCCAATCCCACAAGACTAATATATTAGGAGGGTAAGTCTCTTAAACTTATAAACCTCACCACACTTGTGAGACCCCCCAAAGTAGGACTCATAACAATGTGCTACTTTAAGAGTCAACGTCCTAGTGGTTTCACTCT